TGTTCTAGTCACTGTTGAATAAACCACAGTGATGATATGGCTCTGCCCTGAAGGAGTTTATAGTTGAATTCAGATGATGAGACAAATAAAAATGGAACCTAGAATGGGATTATTGCTGGGTAATGTGTCCAACACAGGCTCCTGAAACACTGGAAGAAACTTAAGAGACTGGAAGAAACACTGGAAGAAACCTTGAGTAGAAAGGACAGATGTTGACCCCTGGTTACACAGCGTTTCACATCTACCCCATTCACTTGCCTTTGCCGAGGTAACTGGACCACTGACAAAGGGATCAAAGACAGAGCAGCCTACTTTCCCCAGGGACTGAACAGTAAAATGATCCCATAATCTTAAATATCAAGGGACAGGTGGGAACTTAAGACTCCCCTGGGACTGGGAGATTTATAAATCTCTCTTTACACCCTGGAGAAAATGATGCTAAATGACCAGTGGTGAACCAAAACAGCAAAGCAGAGAAAAGAAACGTTTAGGATTGTGCCTTCTACTTGAGAACAGCAGTGAGTACACAGCACTGCTGAGAGGCTGCTTGGGAGTCCAAGCGCACAGTACTGCCCAGTGGTGTGAACGTGGATTTGGTCTCTGGAGTTGTCAGCATGTAACTCTGCATGCGTAGAAGCTTGTGTGCCCACAAACTTGCTTGCTTCCCTTCTTCGCTTTAATTTGGGATCACTTGCAGGAACTGGCGCTGGTGCAGTCATCAGTTCGTTAACTTCTCTACTTCTAGAGTGGTCTCTAGTCTCTTCTGTTGCCCTGTACCCTTGCTCTGAAATCAGAGTAAGGTTGTTCTGCACGCGAATACAGCAAGGCTGGGAGAGAAACCTACCAAACAAGTCCTTGGCCTGGAAGGAATTACACTTGTCAGCTTTGGCTGTCCTCTTTCCTCTGAGCCAAAGTTTATTTTAGAACTTTTCTAGAGTAATGGAACCTTTGAGAGATTTTGTCCTCCATGGTACTTCGCAATGGAACCTCAGGATAGCATGAAGTAAAGTGTGTTAGTCACTCAGTCTTGTCCAACTCTGAGACCCCATGAAATTCTCCAGGCAAGAATACTGGAGTGGGTTGCCCTTCCCTTCTCCAGAAGATCATCCTGACCCAGGGATTAAATCCAGGTCTCCCGCATTGCAGGCAGATTCTTCACTATCTGAGTCACCAGGAAAGTCCCATGAAGTAAAGAAAACCATATGTCTATTCACCTCCTCCTTGCACCCAGTATGATTTTGACCAACAGTTTAAATTGCTTTGTGTTAGGTTTTCTCAGTGGTGGTTGGTAGTAGGGAGCAGCCACGACTACTTCTGTCTCCTAACCTTTCCTTCTCCCCTTGCTGGTCCCCAGGGCACCCTACTATGTGGGGAAGTAGCATAAGGGAAGGAGGAGACAGAAGGCCCCAGTGGCCCACAGACTGCACCATCTTTCTCAGAGAGCTTGGGAAAGGATGGGAGAAAGGAGCTTGCTTTTTGCGCCAAGTTTTACCCTAATGGTAAAAACATTTTTCAGTAGCAAGATCTGGTGGTGGTTTGCAGCTCTTGAGCTCTTACTCAGGGCTGCATGTTGTGGTCAGTGCTTGAGATGTCCTCCAGGGCGTCTGTGAGGTGGGCCTTACTGTTGGCTCCATTTTCCCCAAAAGGAAACTGAGGCACGGTGAGTTTCATCAGCGCACTCAGCCTCTCAGACCTCAGTCATCTTGTGTGGCTGCTACAGATACTACAGATACAGTGGTTGTAGTAGCTCTTGTTCGTCGTTGATACCTGTGTGCTGGTGGTTAGCGTGGTTCCTGCTATTAACTTTGAAGGATTTCAAGAGCTTTTAATTTCTTCTAAGTGAAGTGGAAACTAGATCATCATCTAATTTTTCTCACTTTCATTTCTATCCACTGTTTAAGTCAAGTGTGTAGCTACAGCAAATGCTTATTTGATTTAAAAATCCTTTTTGTGTTCTGAATGGAGGATGTCAGGGACCAATATTGGGAAAAACCCTATAAAAGTGATAATTAAAATAATTGCTACCTTGGCTTCATACCTTTACCCTGCAGGATGTGAAGAATGGAAGACTTACTTTCAGAAAATGGGAAAAGGCAAGGATTTATGGACATGAGAGTGCTTTGTACAGAAATCCAGCACTTTGTATTTTGCAGCCAGTGATGGCTGTAGCTGCCCGATGAGAAACTAATCCTCCTGAGGTTAAGAAATGTAGGCAGGGATATGCAGACAGTGATCTCTTTCTGTAGATTACCCTTCTTAACTCTTTAACAACATGCTTTTCTTTTCCCCCCTTCACAAGTGGGGAAACTGAGACTCAGATCAGCTGAGATCCAATGCCTTGTTCAAGGTCACAGAGCTCTTTAGCAGGGGAGCTGAGACTTCCCCATACAAGCCTGGGTTCATAATCCTTGGCCGTCTGCCTCTTCATCAAGTGGGCTGTGTTTGGGTGGCAATTTCATCATAAACTCAATATTGAAAACTGTTTCTCTTTTCAAGTGAATTTGAGCATATTGGGGTCTGGAGAGATGGAGTTGTTTACTTTTAACTGCCTGTTCGTTCAGCCTTAGAAAGAAGTCCCTTATATATTGCACAGGACAAATGATTATGCTGGAGGAATAGCAAACACTGTTTTGATCTTACAAAATTTATTATCTGTGTACCTTTGGGGAACAAAAACAAATTGTGGGCTAGTAAAATTTAGTGCTTATTTACAAGCTTTATTTCCTTCGGTTCCCCAAATTTGCACACACAGAGAGGGCATCACGGTCAGATTTTAAGGACCACTGGCAGCAGGAAAGGTAAGCACCGTGAACCAGGGACCCCCCAGTAACTGCCACCCCGGTGAAGTCTGTTGGCATGAAAAACTGAATGGCCGATTGGGTTTAATGGACAGTATGAGGTTCTTGATGAAGAGTACCCTGTTCACTGTCTGATCTGAAAAACACGACTAAGCTAAAACTCATTTAAATGTAAACATTACAGGAAATGTTGGAAAAAAATCCTAATTTTTTAGTAGGTGGCTATTATGAACATACGTTCTATATCATAATGTATCATTGTTTATTAAACATCTCTCCAACATGGCTACTTGTTCATTACTGCTTTTTAGTCTACCCTCTTACATGCTTTTTTTCCCATTTGAACATTTGGAACCTCTGCACCCCCATTCTTTTATTTTATTTTATTTTTTTTCCATTTATTTTTATTAGTTGGAGGCTAATTACTTTACAATATTGTGGTGGTTTTTGCCATACATTGACATGAATCAGCCATGGATTTACATGTGTTCCCCATCCTGAACCCCCCTCCCACCTCCCTCTCCATCCCATCCCTCTGGGTCTTCCCAGTGCACCAGGCCCGAGTACTTGTCTCTTGCATCCAGCCTGGACTGGCGATCTGTTTCACACTTGATAAAATACATGTTTTGATGCTGTTCTCTCAGATCATCCCACCCTCACCTTCTCCCACAGAGTCCAAAAGTCTGTTCTGTACATCTGTGTCTCTTTTTCTGTCTTGCATATAAGTTTATCATTACCATCTTTGTAAATTCCATATATATGTGTTAATATACTGTATTGGTGTCTATCTTTCTGGCTTACTTTGCTCTGTATAAGGGGCGCCAGTTTTATCCATCTCATTAGAACTGATTCAAATGTTATTTTTTTAATGGCTGAGTAATATTCCATGGTGTATATGTACCACAGCTTCCTCATCCATTCATCTGCTGATGGGCATCTAGGTTGCTTCCATGTCCTGGCAATTATAAACAGTGCTGCGATGAACATTGTGCACCCCCATTCTTTCGTAGGACATTGTTACTTTGGACAAAATCATCGTGTGGGTACTTTCTGATACGCTGTGTGCTGTGGTTGTCTCCACCGCTCGGGGACGGGTGTGGTTTACACACTTGAGACGAAGGTCAGATGGCTGGTTATTGCAGAGCGCGTCCAGACCAGTTCTCCAGCTCTGTGCCGCTGCTCCTATGACTGTCAAGTTGAGATCGTTGCATCACAGTCAGCTGACCCAGCACTTCCAAATGCTTATCCCTCCTGGCCTTCAAGGAGTCCATTAATCCCTGTACTACACTGAAAGAAATTAATTTTTTGTTTTCTAGCCAAAAGTCATGAGACTTATTTCGTATCTGAAGCCAATAAGCAATTTAATTGTATTACTGAATATGAACCTTAAAACCAATACATTTCTCTCTTTAAAGTTGTTTACTCTTGTGATAGGTGAGCATTTGTTGATATCTGTTATTTGCTGAGTTAACCTGTATGAATACTCTTACAATGCCAGATCAAAATATTTCTATTTAGTTCAGCACTTAGCTCCCTCCCCTTTGTATGTTGCAAAGCAGTGTAGAAGATGCCCTCATACGAGGAGAATGGGTGAGCCATCGGCTTGAGTGAACTCATGGTAAATGGGTGTTTGGACCAGCCTGTAGCAAACATATTGCACGTGCTTGTCTGTGTAGGCAGCGCTGATGTCCTCCTAGGGTGGAGCCTACCCCCTGGGATAGAGACAGCCAAGGGAGTGGAGTGGATACTCGCTCCCACTCTTGAGAGAGTCTTGAGTTTAGTTTTTAATCAGTCTACTTATTATTGAAGTATAGTTGATTTACAGTGTGGTGAGTTTTTCCTTTCTGAGTGAAGTATTTTTTACAACAATCTTTATTATTTTTTTATTGGATACTGAGGTCTTGAGCTTAGCATATACAAAGTGTCTTTGATTCTTGGTTTAAACTAAGCGAGATTAGTCCTTATTACATTGAATTGCTTACCTTCAACAGCCAAAGTTTGGAGAATGCACCGTTCTTTTGGGGATGGGTGAAATCTTGGATGCTATTCCATCATTCCTCTGTCCCCAGGCATAGCAGCACCCCGCCTAGAGAGCTCATTTCCTTCACATACCCAGCAGATTCCACACGCAGCTTTAGCAGACTGCCGTGGTCTTCTGCATGATCAGAACTGATTTTGTGGACCTTTGTTTCTCTCTTGCAGGTCTAACTTCAAGCTCGTGGCTGTTAATTTCAAACTCTACGCCATTGGTGGACAGGCTGTTTCTAATGTTGAGTGTTACAACCCTGAGCAGGATGCCTGGAATTTCGTGGCACCCTTACCAAACCCTCTGGCTGAGTTCTCTGCGTGTGAGTGTCAGGGGAAAATTTATGTCATTGGAGGATACACTACCAGAGGTAAGTGAGGGCCTGGAAAGTGGTCCTCCTCCGTGTGAGCTTTGGCAGCCTGGGGGAGGACGGGAGGGGTTGGAGGAAGCCCTCTAGTGCACCCCAGCCTGATGTTATGTATTGCTTACTGTATATTTACATATCTGGAAAAAAGAGCATCCTGTGGGACATCAAAGAGGGGTCTTTGATGCCTTTGTATGAGCATGAAAATTGCATGGTGTGGGAGGAGCTGTGAAGAAAACATGTCTTTTCTTCCTTCTCTGGAAATACCACCCTGTAGTCAGCCATCCTGTGACTTGGCTGGATAACTCCTACCTTTCTCTCAAACGTACACTGAACCCGCCTCATCTAACACTGAAATTTAGCGCCAGTGCATCCTTGCAGGTCTTTCTTTTCACTTTCTCCCTTGTGTTTGGGCACAAACATGTGGGATACAGATTCCAGAAATTCAGCTCCAAGCTGTTCACATATCATAGGAGGAACAAGAACATGAAGAGCATTCTTTCTTGACCATCAGTGGGAGGTGGTTGTGCTGTTTATTAAACCATACATATGTGTTTTCTGGGCTTTCCTGGTGGCTCAGATGGTAAAGAATCTGCCTGCAATGGGGGAGACCTGGGTTCGATCCCTGGCTCAGGAAGATACCCTGGAGAAGGGAATGGCAAGCCACTCTAGTATTCTTGCCTGGGGAATTCCATGAACTGAGGAGCCTGGTGGGCTACAGTCTATGGGGCTGCAAAGAGTTGGACATAACTGAGTGACTAATGGTCTTCCCAGGTGGTGCTAGTAGTAAAGAACCCACCTACAGTTGCACGGGACCTAAGAGACATAGGTTTGATCCTTGGACCAGGAAGGTCCCCTGGAGGAGGGCATGGCAATCCACTCCAGTATTCTCCTCGCCTGGAGAATCCCATGGACAGAGGAACCTGGCAGGCTACAGTCCGTATAATTGCGAAGAGTCAGACACAACTGAAGTGACTTAGCATTCAGTACGCACATGTATTTTCTACTTTGTTTGGTGGACATTTTATAGTTAATGATTTGAAAATAACAGGCTTCTCCAGCAGGTTTTATACTCCTGGGTCTTGGTAGGGAGCATCTCACAACTTGTAAAAAAAATTTTTTTTATTGGAGTATAGTTGCCCGATAGCTCAGTTGGTAAAGAATCCGCCTGCAATGCAGGAGACCCTGGTTCGATTCCTGGGTCGGGAAGATCTGTTGGAGAAGGGAAAGGCTACCCACTCCAGTATTCTTGGGCTTCCCTGGGGGCTCAGCTGGTAAAGAATCTGCCCGCAATGTGGAAGACCTGGGTTCAATCCCTGGGTTGGGAAGATTCCCTGGAGAAGGGAACAACTACCCACTCCAGTGTTCTGGCCTGGAGAATTGCATGGACTGTATAGTCCATGGAGTTGGACACGACTGAGCAACTTTCATTAGTTGCCTTACAATGTTGTGTTACTTTCTCCTGTATGGCAAAGTGAATCAGGTATATGTTCATATATATTCCCTCTTTTTCAGATCTCCTTCCCATTTAGGTTACCACAGAGCACAGAGTTGAGTTTTCTGTGCTATCCAGTATGTTCTCATTAGTTAACTTTTTATACATAGCATCAGTAGTGTATGTATGTCAATCTTAATCCCCCAATTCCTCCCACCCCTTCTTCCCCCCTTGGTGTCCACATGTTCCTTTTTTATGTCTATGTCTCTATTTCTGTTTTGCAGAGAGGTTCATCTGGACCAGTTTTTCTAGATCCCCTATATGTTAGTATATGATATTTTCCTCTTTCTGACTTACTTCACTCTGTATGACAGTCTCTGGGTCCATCCTCATCTCTGCAAATGGCACAATTTCATTGCTTCTTATGGCTGAGTAATATTCCATTGTGTATATGTACCTCATCTTCTTTATCCATTCATCTACTGATGGATATTTAGGTTGCATCCATGTCTTGGCTGTTGTAAATATTGCTGCAATAAACATTGGGGTGCATGTGTCTTTTGGAATTATGGTTTTCTCTGGGTATACACCTAGAAGTGGGATTACTTGGTCATATGGTAGTTCTATTTTTAATTTTTTAAGAAAGCTCCATAATTTTCTCCATACTGGCTGTATCAATTTACATTCCCATCAACAGTGTAAGAGGGTTTCCTTTTCTCCATACCCTCTCCGGTGTTTATTTTTCATAGATTTTTTTGGTGATGGTCATTCTGACCCATGTGAGGTGATATTATATTGTAGTTTTGATTGGCGTTTCTCTAACAGTGATGTTGAGTGTCTTTTCATGTGCCTCTTGGCCAACTGTTTGTCTTCTTTGGAGCCTCTTCTGTTTCTTACAAGGACACACTTCTTGGATTTAGAGCTGCCTGGGTTATCCAGAGGATGGTCTCTTCTTGAGATCCTTAACTAAAATTACATCTGCAGAGATTCTTTTCCCAAAAAAAGTGACATTCAGAGGTTCTGGGGGTTGGAAGATGAACATATCTATCCAGGGGCCACCATTCAACCTTCTATAGGTGGTGTTTTTATTTATACATTTAAGGAGAAGCGGGGACATGGGAAGACAAGTGCATGGGGAGCAGTGAGGTTTTTCTTTTTCACGCCAAGTTTTCATCACTTGTCCCCAGTGACTCTCCACTGATGATACCTGTCCACTTTTCCTTTACAAATAATTGAAAGAAAATGAAGTGACCTAGCAGTCACTTCTTTCACTTCAGCATTGGTGTTCAGGTTACAGTGGTCAACTTTATAGAGTTAACTAAACCATAGACCCCAGAGAATTCCTGTGTGTGCATATGTACCTCTGTGTGTATCTGTGTGTCTTCGCTCCTAGGAAAGTAGTTATTTACTTTTGCACATTTCTAAGAATCCTGATTCCTCCCTAGACTTTGTGACACAGAATGTACCCTGTGGGCCAACCCCATGCACACACAGCCCTTGGTTTCTGTTCTACCCCAGAGTCGGGAAGCCCTGACAGGCAGCACTGTAACCCAAAGATGACTCTCCTGGTAGATTTCCTAGTTTTTCCATGACCCTGGTTGAGCAAATGTTCTTTAGATTTGACCTGGAAAACCCTTGATTGTGTGTTTTCTAGTTTCACAGGCCACTACTACTGTGCCTTCTTCATCTGGGCCACCCACTGTGATCCCTGACCCGGCCTCCCTGAGCCAAATCCCCATGACAGGATGGTTAGGTGACGTGGATGGATGGCTGTTTGTGCAAGGGCTGAAAATGAGTTTTCTATGAGAAAGGGCAGGCAGCTCCTTGTCCTCTGAGGCCCCCTCCTCCTCTGCTTGGGCTCATCCCAGCACTTCCTAATAGTTCCTTGTCTTTAAAACAAGAGATCAGAACTGCCATGGAAAAAAAAAAAAACCAGGAATTGAAGTTGGGTTTTTAACCTACTCATTTAAGTCAGGTGATACTTTTAAAATTTAGTAAGGGATAATTCATCATTTTTATGATAACTATTCAATTATTTTAATTCTTTGGCCAGCACTGAAGAAATGAAATTCAATAGAAAGTAGCAGTAACTAGTAAAGGGAAGAGCAGTGATTTGTTAAATGTTAGAGTCAACTCTCAGTGTAAATGCAAAAAGATCATTCCACTAACTCAAACCTCCTCATCATGGCCTGAGCCCTTGTTGGGTGAGGAGAGAAAACATTTACAGAAGACCTGGAAGGACCTTCGAACCTGGACCTGAGAAGTAAATACACTGACGCTTGGCCAGAATAAGTCCTTTATTCGTAGGATGGGGAACCAGGTTACTCAGGAGTACTTGTTGGTAGATTAGTAACCAGACTCCCTAGTGCTGTCTCCTAGAATGTCCCCTTATCCCCGTGCCCTCCTCACGGCACTTGACTTGCAGCAGAGAGCACGGTGGAGCTTTAATTACAGTCCTCTTGGGTGGGTCCTTCTGTCTCAGGAGGAAATCCTGCTCCCAGCTTCTGTGGGGATCAAAAGGCTGCGGCTTTCGTAGGACGTCAGTTCCCAAGCTGACCTGTCTCTTTACAGTGATGTTGTTGTTTAAAAAACAACAAACAGAAACTTCATTCTTTTGGATAATTCAGAGCATTTTTAATTTTTTTTTTTTTTGCTGAGTCTAAAATATTCCATTTATTCTTCCCTTGAGGAAAGAAAGAATAAAAGAACAATTAAAAAAGAAAAAGGAAACTAGATATTTTCAATTTCACAAGCATTTTTCAAAGAGACTAGGCAACATTTTTCCTTGAAATAGGTATTAATTGAAAATGATGTTAGGGTGGTCTTTCATCTACCATCTGATTATATCCACACAATAGTTAACCATCTCAGGACTTCCTGGTGGTCCAGTGATTAAGACTTCTCATTCCAGCATAGGGGGTGTGGGTACAATCCCACATGCCTCAGGGCCAAAAAAATCACAAAACATAAAATAGAAATAATATTGTAAGGAGTTCAATAAAGACTTTAAAAAATAGTCCATGTTAAAAACAAACAAATATATATATATGTAACCATCTATGGGCAAGGGGAGGGGAAAGAGCCGTTGTCGGCGCATCTCTGGTGTTACAGTTGGGAAACAGGATTGCCAAGCGATTCTGGTTTAAAGGCCCGAGGTCAGATTTTTTGTCTTGCATCTCTCTGACTTGCAGCTCTGCCTCCTTTCTGTTAGACGGCCCCAGAGATCCCACTCAGCTCACTTGGCTTCTTTTACAGAGTCTGTTGTCAAGAATAGATCCTTTTGGGGCTCAGCCTGGCATTTGCCTTAGGCAGCCAGGTTCTGTTCGATTCTGCCGAGGGCTCTCTGAGGCTCGGATTCTTCCTGCACTGGCCTGGTGGTTCTCCAAGGTGCAGGGGTCCCGGGGAGGAGCGGGTGCTCTATCACAGCGGCTCATCTCCCCGGCCCGACCGGCTCTGAGAGCCAGCCCGGAAGGGACGTGCCTGAATGCCAGCCCAGTGGAGAGCATTCTACACGGGTCTCCTCCCAGCCATTTCCCAAACTATTTCCCCAACGTCCGCTTTCCGGAAGCAGTTTGGCCTCTGTGCCCGGCGGTCACTCCGGCGGAGGCGGGCGCGCACGTCCAGCGGGCGGCGGGTGGCGCTCCCCCTGGCGGCGTCCTCACGCGGCTCCTCTCTGCCTTTCAGACCGGAACCTGAACATCTTGCAGTACTGCCCCTCCGCCGACCTCTGGACTCTCTTCGAAACGTGCGACGTCCACATCCGCAAGCAGCAGATGGTGTCGGTGGAGGAGACCATCTACATCGTGGGGGGCTGTCTGCACGAGCTGGGGCCCACACGGAGGGGCAGCCAGAGCGAGGACATGCTCACCGTGCAGTCCTACAACACCGCCACCCGCCAGTGGCTCTACCTCAAGGAGAACACGTCCAAGTCGGGCCTCAACCTGACGTGCGCGCTGCACAACGATGGCATCTACATCATGAGCAGAGACGTCACCCTGTCCACCAGCCTGGAGCACCGAGTTTTCCTCAAGTACAATATCTTTTCAGATAGTTGGGAAGCCTTTAGGCGTTTCCCAGCTTTTGGACACAATTTGCTGGTCTCTTCTCTTTATCTGCCCAATAAAACAGAAACCTGACTGAATTGACCTAGAATTGAGAAAGAAACCTGGTTCAAGACCAAAAAACACAACTGTCCAATTTCCAGAGAAACTGATTTTTAAAGGGAAGATGTGAGTTTTAGGTCATTTATACAAAAGCTGTAAATAAGCTTACTTGAACTAATTACTTGAAAACTTGTGGGGAAAAAAGAGAGACCAACTTTATTATTTTTTTAATTATTGATTTTTAAATTATGGGAGCAAATCCATGATAATGTTTTTTGTACAAATGTGATACCCTTGGGCCAATGTCTGAAACTGATCTTCAAAAAGAAGATTCATTGTGCCTGTTTAGTAAGGGGCCAAAGTCAAAATTGGTAAGAATGCTAAAGATGATTTTTAAATCTGTTTTATTTAGGTCACTTGAAATATCATTGATACCTTAAGTGAAAGGGTTTTTTTTGTTGTTGTTATTAATTTACTTGACAAACATGAATATTAATGCTGTCTTTCTCCCCTGGTCACACCCACCTATGTTGCAGTGTGTTTAAACTAGGGTTCTGTGTTTATATATTTTATTTGCACATGACTTTCCAGGAAACTTACACCAGTGGAACCCAACACCCAGTCCTCCCCAAAACCTGTGTGACAACGTTCTCAGCTATTTTTCAAGTCTTTTTTTTTTTTTTTAACAGTTATGAATGCTGAGTAAATAGGCCGGTATAACCTCTTATTTCATTTATGTAGCAGATTGCAGATTTGTGTGGTCAGATACGTTATATTGCTAGGCATTCTGTATTTCTTAAAAAAGAGGATATATTGTTTAAAAGAATGGATCTTTATATTTTTTAAATCAAGTCTTAAATGGGAAGGGAAGCACCAAATAAGAGAAAAAAAAAATGCCTTTGAAAGTTACTTTTATCGAATGTATTTGACCTAGTTCTTTAAGTTTGAAAGTATAACTTTATACTTAGATCAGACACCTTTCAGATTTAATCTTGGCTTTTTAATTCATGCTTTGCTTTTGTGGGGTAAGGTGAGGACAGCTTTGAAACATTTGTGCTAGAGAGGGAAAGAAGCCCCTAGAGATGGAGTAGCATCTGCTGGGACTTCTGAAATTTGGTAAGGTGCTCTATTTGCCTTGGTTGGTAAATCAAGTGGAACCCAGCTCAAGCAGTTGTTTGTTTACAGTAAGTAGTTAACAATGAAAAAAATCTTCTGCCAGTCATAGATCAGCATTTCTTTAAAAATATACAGGCAACTCTTGGATATACTGCACTTCAGTGCCAGACCACTGCAGTAAAACAAATTGAAAGGATTTTCAGGTTTCCCAGTGCATGTAATGGTTATGTTTACACTGTACTATATAGTCCATTAAGTGTGCAATAGTATTATGTCTTAAAAAAATGTCTATACCTTAATTTTTAAAATACTATTATTATTAAATACTGCTAACCATTATACCTGACAAAGTGGGGTTGCCACAAACCTTCAATTTGTAAACAGCATATTATCTGCAAAGTATAGTAAAGTGAAGCACCATGAAATGAGTTATGCCTGTATATACACATGTAAAGCAATTTTATTTCCATTGAAAAACATTTTCTGAAGTCCTCTGATTTTATGCAGTGGAATAACTTTAAACTGTGAGCAGGATCCTGTCGTTCTGTCCTAACATTCCAGTTTCAGCGTGCCTCACTTTAAGAAGGTCCTGTAGAAAAACAAAAACTGTTAGGGCAAATTCATGCATTCAGCATGCTTACTGATGCCTCCAGTATGCATTCACTGGGCAGGTGGGCACAGAGGAGTCGATGACCTTAACAGGCTTCAGTTTATGCAAGGAGTCACTACAGGGTTTCTTCACAACTATGACCTCCTAGTATATTTAAAATAAGGGTCTGGTTGTAAAAAATTCTAGTTGCACAACTTTTCAGGAATACTTCTATTAGGTAAAATGAGGTAACTCTTTATTGTGGACATGGAGATAGATCTTTGTGTCTTGTTACCAAATAATCTTATCAGTACTCTGCTTACAACAATATGGAAGGGTTTCTAAGCCATATCCATTTGTTCTCAAATACTTAGCCTTCTTTTTCTTTTTTTAAAAAGAACAAACTCTGAATTGAAATTTTATTGGGAATAGTAGTTTAGTAATAGATTTATATTAATTTATATTCATTATAGAATTGAATTTCCAGTGACCAATAATTTCATTACATATATTTAAAAATATAATTTATTTTAGATAGTGTTAATTTGTGTTACTATAGATCTTAGTGTCTTTAAGGCTTAACCTTATATATTCCTAAGATTATAGCCAGTTGAATTAATGTTGGACAAACAGTTGGAGATTAGCTCGTAAATACCCACATTATAAGAAATACAAAATTATTCCTGCCAACCAGTTCTCTTCTTGATTACATTATTTGGATCTATTTTCCTCGTGCCAACAGTTAGATTCTTTGACCAAGTGAAGGCATACTCTGATCCACAAAGCTCTTTTTATAAACCGAGTTTAATGTGTGTGTATGTGCATCTGTGTGTGTGTGTAACAAGTGTACATGCACACACATAGGCATCTGGCATATTAAGCTCTAAGATATGCAGACTCTAACAAGATTTCCTTGGGGCTGCCAGCAGTACTTAGGCAAAACAGAAAGTGTGGTAGGAGAGATCTGTGGATTTGGGACTTCCTTCCTGCTGTACATGTTAGCTGTGTTGATGTTTTGAGGGTAATTTTAATTTAGCCTCATGCTCTCACCAGTGCCAATGTTGTACTGAAGACTCTACCTATGATGAAGGCAATGTTGCTTGAAAGTCTCCCTTTATTTCCTGTCTTTCTCCAACTGCTTTCTCATTTTCAGAGATGCTTCTGAGGGGTGCTGCCCTCTCACTGTGGAGAGGGGAGTTACTGGGAAGACCTGAGTGCTGGCCACCTTGCCGGAAGCACCCTATTTCACTGAGCATGGTCTGAGTGTGAATTGTTAGAGGGAGGTTATTGGTTCTCCCTGTCATTCCTTCTGGCTTTCTTTTCTGCATCCTTAGTTTCTGAGGCCCCTCCCTTTAAACATTTGTCTGATGAATGTGTAGGAGTTGATTATTTCAACTTATTTGTTAAATCTTAACAGTGAAGTACTGAGAAGGTTATGGATACTAGTAAGAAACAAGTAGATTAAGATTAAGCATGAATACCAAAGAGAATTTAACTCTGCCATTTTTTTTAAAAACCAAAATCCTAAGTAATTCCAAATGCCTTAGATATCAATTAAAATTGTTCTGAGATGGACGAAACTCTCTACCGGGAGAGTAATCAAGTAAATGCCTGTTCTCTTTCAATAAACGCTCATTACTTACTGAGCGTTGTGAATGCAGTGGTTTCAGATTTCTAGGTCAAGTCATGACCCTATGTGTTTGGCTGCACAGGTAAATCCAGTGCGAAGGCTTTGCTGTTCTGGTCGACCAGTACTTAATAAGCAGTGGCTTAATGCAAAGCACTTGAGAGACAACATAGCAACAGAAAGGGAATATAGGTGAGTCCTTCGTTGGATGCCTTTCTCCTAGACTAGGGCTGGGGAAGGTGAAACACCGTGCCACCATTCTTTCAAGGTGGTGTTATGAGTAAGCAGCACTTTTTGCCTCTGTGGCAGAAATTGATTTTAACAATCCATGTCATTAATGCTTCTAGGCATCTATTACCAGCCCATCAGAGTGAGATGAGGTCTCTTTGTCTTCCCTGCCTTGGGCAGAGGAGTGAATGAGTTACATGAGTAGGCACCACCCAGAATGACTGTGAAAGCAGTGAGCTGATTCAGCTGTTTTTTGGTTTCCCAAAATACGTATTAAATCTCTAACATGTGCAAGAAAGTGCTAAGAAGTGGGGAGACAGACATAAGTAAGCCACCATCCCTAGCCTTGAAGACCTTGCAGCCTTGTGAAAATGTTTGCCGTGACCGTCTTAGACTGTCTGGAAGATGCCCGCTTTCGTCAGGTGCCCTGGGGCGTGTTGCATTCCTGCGTTTTCAGTCCTGGCCCCAGTCTGTCCCCTACCTTATGGTTGACTAATGATCATCATACTAGCTGATTCATACCGGCTATACACTCAATTTAAACATCACATCCTGTGGTTTTTACTTTTCTTTTTTACCGTATGCTCTTTTCTCACTACTTTCCGTAGTCTTCTCTGTACTTCATTTTCCTGAGAAGGATGATACGAGATTGGCTTTATTTAAAAATACTTAGTAGGCACCATGGCTTATGGAGCTGAGAGCTCAGCAGCTTTGTCCCATGAGAATGATGAGCAAAGCCAGGGAGGCAGGTATTGGGAGAGAAGCCAGCTATTCACGTGTGTGTTTATACCTATGCCTTTAACACACTTCCATAAAAAATATTAATAAAGAGATGGACATCTAGATACTAGTCCTGACTGAGAGTCAGTTGATTTCTGCCTTTGTGATAACTATTAAAGGGTATATTTCCTTCACATAAGGGTATTTTTTTTCCATTTTCTGGTGTTAACTTAGGAACACAATATAAAATACACACCAATCGACACAGACTGATTTGAGCACTTAACATAACCATTTTTACCCATTCATTCCTGTAGGAGACAGATTAAATGTAAAAGATGGTCAATTTTGAGTTGCAAAAGGGTGCTGAAATGACTTTGATGGGGTTGGCTGGTGCTTTGTCAAGTGGATGTCAGAGTTTATTACTAGTAAAGAAAAAGAAAATGTACTTTGCATTATTATGCCGTTTTTTCTAAAAAAACTTAATAGGGACTCTTTAGATGTCTCTACAATGTTTTCATATCTAGTGGTCATTTTAGAAAAAAATGATAATCTATAGAATGAATAGTTATGTTTTGTTACGATTGATACTTTCTTGGTTAAAATGGTTGTATTGTGTCTTCAATTTCCAGTGTGGCTTAAAATGTAAACATTCACATGAGTCATTTAAATACAATGATGCCTATGAAGCACTCACTAAAACAGCATTCCTTTTGTGTTTAGAACTACAGAAGAAAATCTCTTCAAATAAAA